TCGAAGTTTAGTTAATTGTAGGTCCAGATAGCCAAAGTCTCGCTAATTGTGGGTCTAGATAGTCGAAGTCTCGTTAATTGTGGGTCCAGATAGTGGAAGTTTTGTTAATTGTGGGTCCAGACAGTCGAAGTCTAGTTAATTGTGGGTCCAGATAGTCGAAGCCTCGTTAATTGTGGTTAAATTCAGTCACAAATTCTGTTATAGTGTTCTCAGGCCCTTCTGTTTTCATAAATGTCCTGCACTTACGTTTTTTAGTAGCATAAATAATCTACCTTCGTACAACAGTTTTTTGTAAAAATATACACCCTAGTTATCACACAAAACTGGTTTATTTCAGACACGCGTTGGCATTATCAGTTCAGTCTCGCGTTGATAATGCCACTTAAAAATTGGGCGCAACACGTGTCCGTAATTAAACAAGTGATGTGTTAAAAATTTGAGTGAGTTGGTTTATTTATTCGTTTACAATAGTCTTCACTTTCTACTTTGGTTTTTGATGAAAAACTTGTAACATCCAACACCAATATTTTATCGCGTTCACTTTTCATAAATTCCACTGTCGACGTCTTAAAGCTTTTTATTTTGGTAATAATACAATAATTGAGTGGAGGTGCGTGTGCAACCAATCCTAGGACTAATGAACCTATGACGATGATGAATACAATAATTATGTTATGTGCTGATGCTATTTTCTATTATACACCTATAAATATAATTTACTCTCATTAACAAATCCCTATTAAATGGACGGGTGATGATTCGCCCATCCTGCTAAAAAGGATTAGAGGTTACGAAAAAATGTATTACCTCTTTCTTTATCGATATACCAAACCTGTGACTTTTACTTGATATACTTGTACAATGTACTATAGACAAAAAAAAGCAGTCTTAGGTGAAATTATAATTTTCAGTTATTTCTTTTAAAAGAAAAATGTAGGGTATACTACAATTTTTCAATTCAGCAAACGAATACTCTCCTGTCAGTCATCCTACCTACCCTCTCACAAAGGTCACTCGTCTGAATTTTACAGCAACTATATTTCATAATTGTGATTAAAAAGTAGATGTAATATTCTAAAATAAATTCAAAACAAATATCTTTTTACGTTTACTTAGGTACCAACATAGGTGCCTACCATATTTATGTTAGTGTTTTTTTTTGTAAAAATATGCCAAATTAAATGAATCATTTTTAACTAGAAATGTTCCACATTAATTATGACTCAAAAGATATTATAATACAAGTAAATTATGTTCACTAAAAGGATCTATAATTAAATTCTAATTTACATCAAGTAAAAGAAACTAAACTACTTAATAATATTACACAAATAGAAACATATACTTCAGAAAACACTTGGAGGTAGGTAATTTTAAAACAATTAAGATTTTTTACTTACGTGTAGTTTTTCATGATTACCATTATTACTAACCAGTATTGCACTTATTACAATACTCGTCAAATGAATAAAGAGAAGAAAATTAATGTTTGGTTAATTTAAACCACACTTTATTCACCAATTGTGAGTCACAATGACCTGATAATTAAGTAAAAATGACCTTAAACCAATGCAACTATTGTATTATAAAACTCGCTCGTAAAATTCTTAAGGTATACCTACCTGGTCTGAAGGTGCATTGTCATTATTTATTGTTTTGAAACGTATATAGCTGAGTCATTTCAGATAATGTGCCTATAATGTTACAGTTTAATGAGTTAGTTTTCCAGAAACAAAAATTGTCAAATTAATTTCGGACGAGCTAATTACTAATCACTGTAAAATTCGTCGCAGTGCAAATGTCCAACAAATGAAATAGAATGAAATATTAAACATTGTTTACATTCTACAAAATGAAACAAAAACTAACTTTAGAATGAAGTTAAATTAGACTGATTTTTAGGGTTATATTTACATCCGGCAAGTAGTTACAATTAGACTAATTTCAATTGTCAATTAAAAAACAGAACGAAATTTAAATTTTAAAATTTTGTAATACGTTGAAGGGTCAGAAATTAATTGAAGTAAAACATGGGCATATTAAATGTTAAAAAATACGAACGACAAAAACAAAATACTTTTCTCCATTACTCTTTCTAATAATAAAAAACAGAAAATCGCACTAAAAAAATACCACATTCCCAATCGGTGGTAGCTCAAAAGTAAGTAAACAGAAGAAAAAGAGTCTCTGGAAGGGCAAAGATTATGCTAAACAACACAAAATTCTTAAATGTTATCAATGTTTTTTTATAATTTTGTTTCGTCTTAGTTTTCTGTACCGACGCGGATTTGCCCGCGAAGATGTCCTAAATACGCGTTAAGCGCATCATTGACGACCATGCAAAAGTAATTTTTCTATCCCGCGGGAACAATTTTTTTTCTGGATAAAAATTACTCCATGTTCTTTTATGTACCCCTGACAATGTGTGTACAAAATTTTATGATGATCGATTCAATAGTTAAGGCGTGAAATCGTAACAAACAAGCAATAAATATTGGTTAGAATACATATTTTACCGATAAACTTTATATGTAATGACTGTTTTCTCTTCTAGTTTTTCTCTACCAAATAATATCTATAAGGAGCTTAATTATCCACCACCTTTAATACTAACGTAAGTCAAATTTTTTTAAGAGGGAGAAACTGGAATTCGGAGGGGTAGAGATAGACCTAGATTAGATTACTGTCCTCAAATAGTTAAGGATGTGGGTTGTTCTAATTTTAGGGAAATGCGAAGTATAGCTCAGGATAGGAAAGGGTGGAGGTGCGTGTCCAACCAGTCTTAGGACTGACGACCTTATGATGAAGAAGTCAAATTTTATCCTAACTAAAAATATGTTATGTTATAATCGAAAATACTTATAATAGGTTTACTTATATTAATTACGTATATTAATTTGTTCATAAATTAATATTACTTCTAAAATATGAACAAAGAATGCAAAACGTTTAAAACGCTGCTAATTGTAAGTAAACTCCACTTCTGTACATTACAAAGGTGCAAGTAAGATATTTAATTAATAATAACCAGAACTTACACGACAAACATCTCAAGATGTTTTGTGCAATTAATAATATTTAACTTCCAAGAAATAGCCGCAATTCACCGTGTGTTTGCATAGGTAGGCATAGGTACCTACATATGTAAATATATTCTATGACAACGTGAACAAGTGTACAAGCCTAATAGTTTATGTGCAAACAGTTTCACCAACAAGTATTAAGCGTCTCGAAATGTCAATAATATACCCATATGTATACCTACTAGTGGTGAGTGTTGATGAGGATATAGTTCTGGTATAGCTATTAACACACGTCGATCGCGAAGAAACTGTTGACCGATTATAGACGACCGATTAGACACAATCTCAAATTTTCCCCATGAACTAGATGATAAATGTGCTGAATTATTTAGCGTTACTTACACATTTTCTATAGAAATTAAGTGATTAAAAATTTATAAATTTTATTTTTGTTTTGGAACTATGTATTAGATACTTAAGTGAATGACTCTTTTATATTTAAACTTAGCGAAAATTACACTACTAATTCTCATATTAATGAAGATTCATTATCAAAATTATCATCTCGATATATGCACCAAATTATAATTCCTTGGCTAGAAACAGGCAGCTCTACAGGATTCTCATTAAAGATAAGAACGTAAAAAGAATTATAAATGTTTAACACTGTAAAAATAAGTATAAGTCTGTATTTTTGTTTGTAGTTACTCCTCAATCAACCCTTAGTTAGATGCGTGGGTCTTTCACGATTTGCAAACAGCAGTGCATCATTATGAAATGCCATATTAGATTTGCGATTTTGAGAAATCTTATACACCTTTATTAGTTTTAAGTTCTGCGTGTCTATGCTAAACAGTAGAGATTTTTCTTTTAAAGAAAAATCGATCCTTTATGTTTAAAGGTTGGCTACCCTTGATTATGTTAATGCAATTTAAGGCTTTGTTCAAAAGTTTTTAAGGGTGCAGTTTATTTAGTAGTTTTCAGTGCAACACATAAAAAGAAAATATGCCGACAAAGAAAAGTATGATTTGTATGTTCCGTAAACGTTCTGCCTTACCTGTAGATCACCACCTATGGAATACGAATATCTACTGATACCATCTACCCACTGTATCTAATATTCAATTGTTTTATAATTCATTAGCCATGTACTTAAATATGACAGCTTAATTTCACTAAAAATGATTAATATCCCTAAATGTACGGGTAACTTTCCTTCGCCAATCGCCCCTTTTTCTTAAAAAGTGTATCTGCCTTTCATGAAATTTGATATTAAAAAAAACCTATTCTGATTCAAATAGTTCAAGTAGCGATTTTATGGTTTATAAATTCCTTAACTATTATATTATTCTTATAATTTTATATTAAGTGTGCTTGCAGTAAAGTTATCCAAAACAATTGCATTACTGTTCATGTGAAAATTTACTTAATTTTTATACACTACACCGCAAATTACCTGAAGGTAATGAGGAAAAACCATTACTACAATCACACCCTCGTCGGGAATCGAACCCGAGACCTATGGCTTAGCGCACCAACGCTCTAAGTACTGAGCTACGAAAGGTGACAGCAGTAACAGCGTTGAAATGTGTATATGTATTTTTAGTACTAAAAGTTTCTTAAAAAGTATTTCTTGTCGGATTAAGTTGCTTACGGTTGCGCCTTGCAAATCGTTGAAGTAATATTTAAAATCTGTCTGCCTGACGCGCTTCTTTATTGATTGTAACATATACAGGTAGAGGTAAACACAGATAGACCTCTACACGATAATGGTGATAAACGTTTGTATAACTATACTGAGACCATTCATTACAAGAGTATGAAGGGACTAGGAGGGTGTTTACTATAAGAAGTAGGAAATTAGTACAATAACGTTACTACGACGACCATGAAGCTTACAATAGGTACATTAAGAGGGTAGCAGGGTTAAATAAGTTGAACGTGAAGTTTGGGGAGATAGAGTGAGAGCGCAAGTACCTGGGAATTCGGCGATGCTCGGAAGCCAAACTGGGACATGGTGCGCCCAGCGCCGTGCTACACTCACTGAGTCGTCGCCAGAGGAAGCATGGCTTCCTGCACGCACTGCATTATACACTTTTGTACCTTCGCGAAACTAGCGGTCTTTGAAACTATATTACACTGCCTGTAGGACACTTATCCTACATGCCTTTAACAAGGATATCGCCACGTGGTCACAAGTCGCGATACTTTTGTTGTCTTGTTAAATGTCGGTAAAAATACGGTAGCAATACCGACCGAGTTCGATTACAACGCACCAGGTGATAATTGCGGTCGGCTTCTTTCTGCCACGGCTTTGGATTTTTGCAAGGTCTGCCCAGTGGGAGGAGCGGAGTGGGGGTATGGAAGGGGGTCGGCTGCGGTCTTGTCTTGTTTTTGCCACCGACAGAACGCGACTACTGATGTCACGGAATTCTTTTAACGGCGACAAATTGTCGCGATCACACAACACAAGCGCAGTAGTCGTGGCGACGGTGTGTAAAAAATCGCCGTTGTTTCCAGTAGAGAGGGAGACCGCGGTATTCCTCCGGGGACGGCAGGGCCCGCGTTTCTGAGATGCATTTTTGCGGCCTCCCCTTAACAGACCGATTGATCCACCACCACTAAAAATCGCGCCCTACTTCTTTTTCTGATCCCCTCCCGTTGCGCTTTTTTCCCCTATTCGGGGCAGGACGCCTGCAGATTGAAGAGCGGCCGACGGACCGCCTTGCCCCGCCTCCTCGTTTCACCCAATCCGACGCTTGATGGATCGACCGCGTGCACACGTCATATCGTGACGTCTCCACGATGTTCGCACCTCGAACACTCCGGTCAGCTGGTTTATCGGTGTTGTCTTGTTCTTGTTCTTTTGGGGTTCAGAATACACTTGTGTATACTACTACAAACGATAATGAGATTTGCTGTCGCCCGCCTTCCACGAAAAGTCATTTGCTACTGAAAGTAAAAACTCCCTTTCATTCACGCCTTATTCACTACTACTGCTTCCTTTGAATGTACCATCCTTTTTTTCTTTCATAATTCCTATTCTCACAATTGAATTCATCAATACAATCACAAATGTAGGGGGGTATTATGGATTTGTGAATACCTATTCTCATTACGTTATATTGAGAATAACACTGTAGAGGTTGGGTAGCCAGTTTTATAAAGATCGGAGAAAAAGGCGGAGAAGTTATCCCTCCATTTAGGAATTGTCTTTCATCCGGTTACACATTTCTGTATACCCCACTTATTTTTGATCAAACAGATTTCAAAATCTTCAATGGGCAAAGCAGTTATCCCTCCAATATTTACAAAATTTGTTCCACACGATTACACCTGTCTGTTTACCCCACTAATTTTTTAGAAATGTGGGAGTATATGAAGAATATCTATGGGGGTAACAGGAGGTGGAAAAGGCGGAGAAGCTATTTTTTCAATATTAACGAATTCCCATCCGCCCACTTGCGTACACATTTACAAGTTCCCCATCTTTTTCATTACGTTACACATTTCTATTAACTGGTATGTATATTAGGATAACAGTATGCGAGAAGGTACCCCCTCAATGGTTTCTTCGGTTGATTACATGTTTGTATGTACCCCACCTACTTCTATATAAATGTATACGGAAATATCAGTGGGTGGTAAGGGGCGGAGAAGTTATCCCTTCAAATTTTTACGAATTCCCATCCTCCTTGTTGCATAGAGGTTTCTATTTAGGTACCCACATTTTTTTTAACAAATGCTTCTGTAGGGGTACCAGTTGGTGGAAAAAGAGGGAGATGCTAATGCATTAAATATTTTCGGTGAAAAAAGGCGGATAGGTTACCCCTCAATGTTTCTTTCGTCGGTTGCTTATTTCTGTGTACCCCACTTACATTTTTACAATTGTGTCAATACATGAGTGTCAATGGGAGGAAAAGGGCGGAGAAGCTATCCCTTCGATATTTACGAATTCCCATCCGCCCATTTGCATACACATTTACAAATTACCCATTTATTTACATTCTTTTTTTCATCACATTAACCATTACTATTAACCGGTATATCTTGTGAGGATAATGGTTGAACGTTTCTGTACACCTGACCTATTATTGTACAACTATGCATATTTATGTATGTTTAAGATCACTACTGTAGCTACTGCATTAAAAGTATCCGGTGAGAAAAGGCGGAAAGGTTACCCCTCAATGTTTACAAATTTCTTTCGTCGGTTACCTATTTCTATGTACCCCATCTACTTTATTACAATTATGTCTACATGGGAGTATCAATGGAAGGATAAGGACGGAGAAGGTATCACTTCAATATTTATACAAATTCCCATCCGCCCACTTACGTACACATTTACAAATTACCCATTTATTTACAATTTTTTTTCATCACATTACCCTTTTCCATTAACCGGTATATCTTTTGGGGTATCAGTGAGTATAGAACGTTTCTGTAAAGTTTTTATGCGGGTTACACATTTGCATGGCTCCACTTATTTTGTAACATATATATGCTTATAGGGGTAAAGAGGTGGAGGCTTACCTCTTCAATGTCTACAAATGATGCTTATTTTTCACTTTTTCTGAATCCCTACCCATTTGTGTACACATATTACCTATATGCATATCTGCAGGACCACCTATGTGGCTATAATATAAATTCATTTCAAGCCGTTAGAGATATGCCCCTTCTCTTTACCTGGATGCGCCGTGACAAAATTCAATTCAAGTGTGTATTTTTTTATTCTCGCAGCTTTTCTCAAGGTCACAACTCTAACCATTTGGAACGAGTTGCATTTTCTTATGTACCCCCACCACATTTTTGTACAAGTGTGCCTGTAGGGGAATCAGTTGGTGAGAAAAGGCGGAGATGCTAGTCCTATGATACATATGTCGATATAGCCCGCACCACCTTTTTTACAAATACGTACACGTGAGGTTACCAAAGTACAACTGTGAAGTAGTTTAAGAATAGAGGTCTACTGCTTACCTACTTGCAATTTTATATGTAGAAGTGGCAATAAATTATTAGTAAATATAAGGTGCTTATCTGAACGTTTATTTAAATAATGTTTACGAATTTATATAAGATACGTGTTAAAAACTTATACTTTTTCATTGATATATTTAATAAAAAAGTAACGAATTTCGGGCAGATTTTTTTGCGTAATGATTAGCAATCTGGTCAGATAACAAGAATAGTGATATGGCTACGTATTTACGACTCTATCGAGACAGTCTATCCTTACAACCTTCAAAATCAGAAAGCATAAGAAATGTGGTGGAGGAGCAAGGAAGAATTTTCTTTTATTTATAACGATCTTTATCTTGTTTTTCAAACTCAAAAACATTAATTTTAATTGCCACATTTTGTGATTTTGTACATCATCGGGAAAAAGAAAAGGTTAGAAGCATTCGCAATGTAGTGTTACAGGCGAATTATGAAAATAACCTGGAAAGAGAAGGTTAGAAACGAGGAGCACAATACATCTTGGAGCATGAAGATCTAGTTAAAGACGTATTAGAAGCAAAAACTTGAGGTAAAAAGAAGTAGAGGACTGTTCACATACAGTTAAGGATTGGGACGTTTTAGCTTAGGATAAGAAAGAGTGGAGGTGCGTGTCCAATAAGTCTTAGGACTGACGATCCTATGATTTTGATGATGATGAAAGAATAAGGATTTTGTAGTCCTCATGAATAAATTGTTAATTCGCTGCTTTGTGCTCAAGTAAACGCAGAAAATAAAAACAACGTCTCACATGTCAAATGCAAATAATATATATTACAATCAAAATAAAAGTTCTGAGGCGGCAATTCAAACTATTCATATCGCCTGTTCCAAAAAAACTTCTTAATAGATACTATTTTCTGCAATTACAACGAGGAATTATTCTGTTTACCAGTTTTGTCAAGATTAGTTATGATTTAATACTGAGTCAAATACAACAAATGAGATAAGTATGATATCAACGAGAGAGACAATTTTTCTTAGGATGATGTCTCCACATCACAAATCCAGCACCAAAAAGATGAAGAAAGCGAAAATAAAAGACGTGACTGTTGAGGTTGAGAATTGAAATATTATTATGAAATTTTCCAGAAATCAACAATAATCCTTTCCACTTGGATCATTACTAAAAGCACTATTTTTTAATCAGTAGATCAGCACAATACATGTTGGAGTTTGCTTATCCAAAATGACTCTGATGTAGTACTGTAGGTATATAAACATTAAACCACTGATGTTTTCATAGTGCAAGGTGTGGGCGACATATTAATGGGATGCAAGAATGACAATGGTATTGGATAATTTGCTTCATTCAAAAAAGAAGGACCAATTTCTTCAGACATACCTATCTATTTGTAGGAGGTACATAAAGGAAGCAGAAATAATAATAATTCAGATATTAGGGAATTTCTTCACTGACACCAGGAAGTAAAGGAAGATCTAGAAAGATGGTAATACAAAGAAATGAAGTCAGTGACTTAAAAGTATACCTACGTATAGAACACCAATCGTTTCCAAAAAGAATCTGGACTTCGAATCCAAACATTATGAGTGGAGAAAAGGAAAATGCAGAGTGAAAGAATAAGTACTGGACACTGGGCAGGGATCAAAGCCCAGAAGTAGATACGTATGTGAAATCAGTTTAGAACTTGGCTGGTGTACAATGGGACCTTTCATATTCTCACATTGGTCACCTTCTTCCAAAGGTGGCAACCCATACACATTTACCAATAGATAGCTATCTAACTATTGTGTTAGGAAGTTAGTTTTGGTTATGAAATTTTATCAATAAAATAATCTATCTGCCGTTCATATGTTGTACCAACGAACGTCCTTGATCCAATCTTGTCGTTTATTTCGTCAGTCTTCACGTACCGGACCTTTACAAGCTCGTAAATAACGAAGAGTCACGATTGAGAGAACGAGGAGTAGTTTGCTCTTATAGAGGCTGCGGTAATGGGGTTTCTTGGAACCTAAGAAGAATATTGCCCACGGCTATGTGTGTGTGTGTGTGTGGATGTGTTTTTTCACCGTGTGCACCTACGTCCTGGACCAATGAGAGGCTGTAGTGGTCGGTAATGAAGAAGGCCATGGCTAATAGCGGGCCTCCTCTCATTAGAGATGCGGACGAGTGACCGCCTCTTTGTGATTACACGTCAGGTGTGACTGATTACCTGAACACCAAGCACCGGAAGTACGCCGCTGAACCCGATAATCCTGTTCCAAGGCGACCACGAATGTACAGGTACAGTTTTAATCAGCTCTAGGCTCTTGGTGCTCACAGGGTCGCATACGAATAGAATCTACTATTTGATTTGGACTCTAATCGCTTCCAGTGAGTAGTCTTGGTAAAAACTGGTCAAGGGCCAAGTTTGGAGCATCTATCTACTAAAAAATGAAAATATACAGGTTGGAGGGCTAAACTGAATTTATTAATATTTTTATTATTCTTTATTAAGTCTAAACAGGCATTCATTATATATAGACAACTAATTGGTTACAAAGTATCATATTAGCCAGGTGGAACCGTAATAGATCCTTAATTATGCCAACAGTGATCAAAAAATACTCTTAATTGCAACAACAAGAAACATTTGGTTTAATCGAAATCTTTTGGACTTGACTTTTGTGAATCTCCTTGATGTGCTGATATGAGCAATCTGCCTTATGGTGTTTCGATTAGGCAAGCATTAAATAAAGGAAGTACTCTTAGACAAACTCGTGTTTTTTTGCTAGTCATATCAGCTGATATAATCCGATTGATTCTACGAAGGGTGCACCGATCTTCTTTCCTAAAAGCCATAAGCAGCATTCATGCTGATGTCAGAACGAGGTAGAACGTTATACGCCTTTTGAGCGTCTCATAGGGTCAACATGAGGTATGTAATCCAATTGGATGACGTAATTACTCCTTATTTTTACCTACAAGCATAGCAGAAAGAAAAACTGTAATTTTGGGAAGTTATCGTAACATTTGAACCTTCACCTACGTATCGTGCACACCTATTTATGACATTAATTTAATGCTATTAAAAGTAAAACTAAAATACTGATATGCAAGGGAAGAAAAAGTAGGGAAAGAGCGAATTT